GGCTCAGTTTTTTCCGACCTCCAGCAACACATACACACACAGGCATGCGCGCGCGCACACACACACACACACACACACACACACACACAGTCATTCACTAGTGTCTGACTCTTTGTGACCCCATGGACTGTAGCCCGCCAGGCCCCTCTGTCCATGGGATTCTCCAGACACGAATACTGGACTTGGTTGCTGTTTCCTTTTCCAGGGGATCTTCCCCACCCAGGGGTCAAACCCAGGTCTTCCGCATTGCAGGCAGATTCTTTATCATCTGAGCCACCAGGGAATGTTTGGCCCTCTGGTTGGCCTCACCAGCTCTACAGTTCCTGACTGTTAGGCATTTGACTCAAGCCTTGTGACTTGTATGAAAGTACTCTAGAGTTAACTGTCATCGTCAGAAATTTGGGGCATGGATGACAGACACTGCATGAATGTAGTGGTTCTCAGGCTTGAGTATGAATGGTAATCACCTTGGACTTCCCAAAACACAGATGACTGAGTCCCCGTTTGAGTTTCTGATTCAACAGGTCTGGTGTGGCAACCCCGCCATGAGAACCACCTGTCGGAAGCTTGGGTGACACAGAGCAGCTGCACTCATCCTCAAACTGGTGCTCTTGTCGTTTTTCACATCTGAGTGCAGTGTTCTGGAGGTGGGCCCAGTGTGCTGTCGGAGCATCCTGACCTCCAAACGGTTGTCTCTGTCCCAATAGCAGCTTCACAGCAGCGCCTCTCGCGGCAAAGCACTGCATGTTCTCAAGTGACAGAGCTACGCTGGAAGCAGTGCTCAGGGCAACAAGCGGCATTCGGTCCAGGAAGGATCAGAACTGTAAAGCTGCTCCTAGAAGACGGCCGACACCAACACGCAGCGCATTTATTTCACAACACACGCGCCTCCTGGCTTAAGTGTGCCAGAGGCATTTCCAAAACTTTATATGACTAGTACACAGTAATATCAATTATATTACCCCTAAAGACCGTCTAATATTTTCCTTTCTTTTCATCAGTTTCTTCCATTTTTAATTTGTTAACCCACTTCAAAAATAGGTTCTACTGGTCAGAGGAAGTCACAAGGTCAGTCTAGATGGACCGACCGCTGGAAGGAGAACAAAGTCCTTCTCTTGATGGCAGAGCAGTGTACTGTCCTGAGTGTGCAAGGCAAGAGTCTCACCCATGTTCTGTACTCCTGAGTTTCTGTAGTTAAAAAATGGATATTTTGGTTTTTTAATTATTTTTTAGGGGGGGGGTCGCATCTCACAGCACATGGGATCTTAGTTCCTCAACCAGGCATGGAACCCACGCCCCCTACATTGGAAGCACACAGTCTTAACCACAGGACCACCAGGGAAGACCTGAAAATGGGTATTTTAATATTTCCTCAAATAGATTAATGTGAAGATTGAGAATGTGGTATGTTATGTGTTGTTGTTTAGTTGCTCAGTTGTGACCAACTCTTTTGCGACCCCATGGATCGTAGCCCACCACGCTCCTCTGTCCATGGGCTCACCCAGGCAAGAATACTGGAGTGGTTTGCCATTTTCTTCTCCAGGGGATCTTCCCCATCCGGGGATCAAACCCTCGTCTCCTGCATTGCAGGTGGGTTCTTTACCACTGAGCCACCTGGGAAGCCCATGTTATGTGTGATAACAGTTTATAAATTGTAAAGTGCAAAACATATGCAAGAAATTACAGTGGTGGCAGGCTGGAAGAATGAGAGCAGATTATACAGGGCTTTAAAAGAAGATACAGGAGGTTATTGAAATAATATTTATTGAGCATTTGATATGTGCCAGGCACAGTTATAACTTTCCTCCCAAGGAGCAAGCATCTTTTAATTTCATTGCTGCAGTCACCATCTGCAGTGATTTTGGAGCCCAGAAAAATAAAATCAGCCACTGTTTCCACTGTTTCCCCATCTATCTGCCATGAAGTGATGACACCAGATGCCATGATCTTAGTTTCCTCAATGTTGAGCTTTAAGCCAACTTTTTCACTCTCCTCTTTCACTTTCATCAAGAGGCTTTTTAGTTCCTCTTCACTTTTTGCCATAAGGGTGGTGTCATCTGCATATCTGAGGTTATTGATATTTCTCCTGGCAATCTTGATTCCAGCTTGTGCTTCCTCCAGCCCAGTGTTTCTCATGATGTACTCTGCATATACACAGTTATAAGTACTTTACAGGTTTTATCTTCTTTAATCATTACAGCTTTATAATATGGATATTTTATGGCTATTTTGTAGAAAAGGAAGTTCAGGCAAGTGGCACAGCCAGAATTTGAACCCAATTCTGTCTGATTCCAAAGTGTTAACTACTGCACCTGGAGTTCTTTGTCACTTATCTCCTAATCAGTGAGTTTCTGTAGTTAAAGGGGAGGGAGAAGGGGAGGGAGCAGCTACCCCAGAACCACTAAAACAGAACTCGGGAGGCACAACCCAGAATGTTCATTTTTAACTCCATATTAATGTGGGAAAAGCAATCACTCATGAAGAGGGAGCCCGAAGGTGAATCCAGCCTCTGTACCCCGACACCAAGTTAAACTTTGGAGATAGAGTTTTGGGTGAAGTAGAAAAGAACAGCTTTAAAACTGCGTGTCCCATCGTGGAGGGGGTAATGAGAGTTTTATAGTAATGGTTCAAACAGGGTGTGATCAGCTCGTGGACACTCTTCTGATGGCCTGGTGATAAGGTCAGCGGGAGTCAGCATCACCAACCTTCTGTTTTCCAACCAGTCTGGGGTCTACACATGCTTGTGGGCAGCTTTGTTAACTTCTCCCACCTGGTAGGGGTTTCAGTATCTGCAGAAAAGCTCAAGGACAGTGTTCTGTGTATCCCTTGAGGGGGAACCAGCACCCTGCCCCAAGACTGCACTTTTTTTTTTTTTTTTTTGCCTCATAGCTTGCAGGGACCCTAGTTCCCCAATCAGGAACTGAACCCAGACTACAGCAGTGAGGGGCTTCCCTGAGAGCTCAGGTGGTAAAGAATCTGCCTGCAATGCAGGAGACCCTGGTTCGATTCCCGGGTCAGGAAGATCCGCTAGAGAAGGGACGGGTTACCCACTCCAGTATTCTTGGGCTTCCCTTGTGGCTCAGCTGGTAAAGAATCCGCCTGCAATGCAGGAGACCTGGGTTTGATCTCTGGGTTGGGACAGTCCCCTGGAAAAGGGAAAGGCTACCCAATCCAGTATTCTGGCCTGGAGAATTCCATGGACAGTGTAGTCCATGGGGTCACAGAGTCAGACATGACCGAGCGGCTTTGACTATCTATCTGTCTACAGCAGTGAGAACATGGAGTCCTAACTACTCGACCGCTAGGGAACTCTGGACATTATTGGTTCTGTTAACTGTTTCTCTCGTCTCCACATCCGCCCCCCCTTCACTAATTAACAACTGTTTGAACCTGTTCCTTGCGACTCAGGGAAGGTCATGGAGGCTGAATGAACTCTATTCCCTGTAATCAAGAAATGGGGGCCACAGAGAGGTTTTGTGCCCAGGAACCCCACAGGGTCCTGCTACGTATCAGATCTGCCCAGGTTTTTCAGTAGTTCAAAGACATTCAGAGACAAGCTTAGAGAAGACTTAGTCTTGCAGGTGTAGAAGAAAACTTGAGTCGGAGAAGTGCCTAGACGTGAGGAGGATAATGATGGGCTTTAAAAATAATTATGTTTTCTGGAGGCAGATGCCAAAGGGAGGGAAATGAAAAGTTAGAAGCCTGACTCAATAACTTGCAATAAGCCAAGTTCACATTCTGTTTATGAATTCATCTATTTTATGCCTCTTTATTTCCTCTGCTAGAAATTCCTAAGTTCCATCTTCACCCCCACCCCACCTAACATCTCATTTCAGATCTGAAGACAAAATACACCTCTGGGAAGTCTCTCCTGACCACCTCCTGTCCCCAGGTGTCCCACATGTGTGCTGCGCCTTCTTCCATACTATCATTCATAACGCCCTAGGTTGTAAATGTTGATGGCTAGAGAAACCCTTGAGAGTAAGCACTGTGCAGGAAGAGAGGAGGGGAAAGGGAGGGATTAAAAGATGGGTCTTAGAAACCCTGGATGAATATAGGAGGTGAAGAAGAGACTGTCAAGTTGCACTGTCCCGTCCTTTCAACAGGCAGGAAGACTTGTTGAGACTACGAGATGAACTTTATAAAGGCTACCACACAGCAGCACTAGATTCTTGTCAGCACCAGATTTGTTTCTTCACGACTGCAAATCAAAGCAACCTAGCAAGAAACGGTCCCTTCCATAATTACACGTGTTTTCTCTTAGCCTGCGGAACAACTGGTTGAGATTTTGTGAATACAGATGCCAAGAACAGACTTTTTGCTCTTTACATGGGCATGAATGATTCGGAGAAGTGATCTGGGCAAACTAATCTCTAGACCTATTTCTTCATTTATTAGAAATGACAAAGATGTTCCCCAGAGTGGCAGAGTGTTCCCCAGAGTGTTCCCCCAGGTGGCAAAGCACGCACGTCAAAATCCCCTGTGAAATACTGGTGGCTGGTAACAGTACGGATAATACACTTATGCCACTGTCATCAATATCCCCTGGAGAAGGGAACGACAACCCACCCCAGTCTTCTTGCCTGGAAAACCCCATGGACAGAGGAGCCTGGCGGGCTACATACAGTCCATGCGGTCGCAAAGAGTCGGACACGACGGAGTGACTAACACACACACATTGTTAGTATTACTCTATGACTAGATTCCCTCTCCGCCAACCTCTCCAAGCCTCTCCAGCGGGTTTAGGGAGGAGGAATAAGTTTAGCTCTACCGTTCAGACATCCTCCCCTGCCGGCAGCACCTGCCCTAATCCAGCATGGCGGCACCGGCTTCTTTCAAGGTCAGGTCACTGGCTACACCGCAGTGCTCTTACGGGAACCGCCCAGGGGTCGACGCGGCTTCCCCGACGCCCTTTGATGACGCCAAAACCCCGCGCGGAGGGCAGTCCGCGGAGGCGTGCGCAAGCGCAGCGCGTTCGCGGGTGGGCGGAGCGGGCCGGGATGAGCGGCGGTGGGACGGAGACCCCTGCGGGTTGCGAGGCCGCCCCAGGCGGCGGAGGCAAGAAGAAGGACTCTCTGGGGTTCGCGGGCTCGCCGGCGCACCTCATTATCAAGGGTATGGCGTAGCAGGGCTCTCGCCTGGTGGTCCCAGCGCAGCCCCACCTACCAGGCGGCGCCCTGTGACCCGGGGCCGAGCCCCAGCGGCCTCGGGTTTGCGGCAGGCTGGGGGTGGGGGACCCTGGCCCGAGTGCGCCCCTTTCTCCGCGCCAGGTGCCTCCCAGCAACGGCAGACCGACCCAGCTCCTGCTGCTTCCTTGTTGAAGCCGCCTGTTTTCAAAGTTTATATAAATGGGTTTATTCTTCTGAAACTTGGTTTTGTGTTTGGCCTTTTATTTGTGGGATTTGTCCGTGTTAATAAATATTACCCCACTGTATTCATTTTCACTCACTGCTTTGTAGTATCCATGAGTATATTAGGTTGTTCACCCCGCCCCCGCCCTTTTTTTTCTCTCTCCCTATACTCGTCCCGTAATAAACATCCTACAGTCTCTCGCTTTTGTAAAAGAGATTTTTCTAGGGCACGTACTTAGGCATGAAATTGCTGGGTGTGCATCTAACTTTATGAGATGTGGCCAGATTGCTCTCTCAAAACTAGCGATTTACTAACCAGATAATCCATAGTCTGAACTGGATTTTAATCTCGACATGAAATTGCTGGGTGTATATGCCTTTACTTTATTAGATATTGCCTAATTGTTCTCAAAACTACTTTACCAATTTACTAACCGGATAATGCATAGTCTGAACCAGATTTTAACCTGCGTATGTTTATGGGGAACAGGAAGAGTGAAACAAGCTAGAGATAGTGCCGCTTTGCATGGGTTGACCTTGAATTTCATTTTCTCTTTACAGATCTTGGAGAAATTCATTCAAGGCTCTTAGATCACAGACCAGTTATCCAAGGTGAAACCCGTTATTTTGTGAAAGAATTTGAAGTGAGTATTTGCAACTCAGTTTGCAAAAATACCACCCTGATTGTTAGTGTGTTAATACACAGAAGGGAAATTGTCTAGTTTTAAAATCTCTGATTTCTGTTCTTGTGTCCATAAAATATACAAAGTAAAACTTATTAAGAGACACTGACATGGATAGAGGGAGCAGAGGTGGAGGTGGGAGGAGCCTTGGCTTATTTATTGTCTGTTGAGCTCAGTTTTTTTTGTGTAAGATGAGGTATAGTTAAAAAAAAAGAAAAAAAAATTTTTTAAGATGGATGGGTCAGTTTTCCAGACCCCTTTTCTGTATATTCTTTTTCTCTTTTGAGGCAGCAGCATCTACCCAAAGCTCTCAAGTTAAAGCATGAGAATCACCCCTGGCTGTACCCTCCCCTCTAGGTCACATTCAGTGATCAAGTTTCTAGACTTTACTGCTTAAATCTACCCTTTCTGATTGATGTGCCTACTCTTATCAGCCCAGTCAGGTCTAGTCTTCACCCTGCTGCCAGCTCAGTAGTTGTTGAGTTGCTCAGTCGCGTCCGGCTCTTTGTGACCCCGTGGACTGTAGCATGTGAGTCTCCTCTGTCCTCCACTCTTTCCCCAAGTTTGCTCAAATTCATTGAGTCAGTAGTGCTGTCTAACCAGCTCATCCTCTGCTGCCCACTTCGTTTGCCTTCAATCTTTCCCAGCATCCGGGTCTTTTCCAGTGAGTTGGCTCTTCGAATCAGGTGGCCAAAGTATTGGAGCTTCGGCTTCAGTTTCAGTCCTTCCAATGAATTTTCAGGGTTGGTTTCCTGTAGGATTGATAGTCCAAGGGACTCTGCCAGAGAGTTAAAACCCTCGGATGGCACTTTCTGCCTATAGACAAAGGCCAGTATCCTCTTGTGACCTGGTCCCTGTCTCTCTAGCTGGACCATCTACCACCTAGCCTTGTGTATTCTGTTCCCACAGTCCTGATGCACCAGCCTGCCATCCTGTTGCATTTGACTGTGGTTTTGCACACGTATAATTGGTTCACTGTGCATTGCATAGTAACAGCCCAAGTTCCTGATAGGTTGATGATGTACACAAACAATTTTGTGATTCTGTGTGAGTCAGGATTATTTTCAAGTGAGACTCTAAGCAGGAAGTCTTAGGTCTGCCAGAAGGAGAGGTTTCCATAAACCCTTTACAAGTCCGGAAAGCCTCTGGTACAGAGCACTCAGGAGGTGCGGACAGGGCTGCCGCGCTCGACACCATTTCTGGGCTCAGCAGGCTCAGTCTGCAGGACGCCTGCTTCACAGGGCTGTTGTGAAGGTGAAAGATGTGTGTCTCTTGGAATATTTTCCGGTACCTGAAGGTAGCTGTTGGTTTTCTTCGTCATCGTTACTTTTGTTGCAGGATAAGAACAGTTATCCCTCACACACAGAAAACTCACTAGACCCTGTCCCCTTATCCTGCTCTGTAAAGGTCATTGGCTGTTTTAGGAGAAAGCCTAGGCACAGCGTGGTGGGCACTCTGCCCAAGGTCTTACCGGGTGAAAATCCGGGGCTGGGCCGGGCTCCAGTGTTACTTGGTGCCCAGGGTCCCCCTGGTTCCCGTGACTGTGGCAGCGCTCACTTCCTCACCAACACAGACAGAGACCCCATCTCCTTGCTCGCTGTCAGCCGGGGATCATTCAGCCCCTAGAAGCTGCCCATCTTCCGGCCGTGTGGTCTCCTCTTCAAAGACATAGCAGGTGGGATCCCTCTCATGCTTCAAGTCTCTCTTGTTGAGAAGAGTCCACGCCTTGTTAAGGACTCACTGATGAAGTCAGACCTCCTTGGGATCGTCTCCCTTAAAGTCAGCTGATGTGAGACTTCCGGTAAACTGTAGAATAGCTTCACAGCAGGACTTCCATTAGGATTCGACTGAATCACTGGCAGATGTGTGTGGGCTTCCCGGATGACGCAGCTGTAAAGAATCTGCCTGCCAACGCAGGAGACGGGTGTGACCCTGGGTCGGGGAGATCCCCTGGAGGAGGAAATGGCAACTCACTCCAGCATTCTTGCCTGGAGAATCCCGTGGACAGAGGAGCCTGGTGGCACAGTCCAGGGGGTCACAGAGTCTGACGGGCCTGAGTGGTGTTGCTGTTTGATCGCTCAGTCGTGTCCGACTCTGAGGCCCCGTGGACTGCAGCACCTCCCCTGCTCCTCCCACCTTCAGTCTTTCCCAGCATCACGATCTTCTAATGAATCGCCTCTTCGCATCAGATGGTCAGAGTATTAGAGCTTCAGCTTCAGTCCTTACAGTGTATACTCAGGGGTGATTGCCTTTTTAGGATTGGTTTGATCTCCTTGCAGTCCAAGGGACTCTCAAGAGTCTTTTCCAGCACCACAGTTCAGAAGCATCAATTCAGTTTTCTTTATGGTCCAACTCTCACATCCATACATTACTACCGGAAAAACCACAGCTTTGACTAGACAGACCCTTGTTGGCAAAGTAACGTCTCTGCTTCTTAATATGCTGTCTGGGTTGGTCATATTTTCTGCCAAGGAGCAAGTGTCTTTTAATTTCATGGCTGCAGTCACCACCTGCAGTGATTTTAGAGCCCAAGAAAATAAAGTCTGACACTGTTTCCCCATCTGTTTGCGATGAAAGGATGGGACCAGATGCCAGGATGTTACTTTGTGAGTGTTTCGTTTTAAGCCGACTTTTTCACTCTCATCAAGAGGCTCTTTAGTTCCTCTTTGCTTTCTGCCATAACGGTGGTTTCATCTGCATATCTGAGGTTATTGATATTTCTCCTGGCAATCTTGATTCAAGCTTGTGCTTCATCCAGCCTGGCATTTCTCATGATGTACTCTGCATATAAGTTAAATAATCAGGGTGACAATATACAACCTTAATGTACTCTTTTCCCAATTTTGAACCAAGCCATTGTTCCATGTCCTGTTCTAACTGTTGCTTCTTGACCTGCATGCAGGTAGCTCAGGAGGCAGGTAAGGTGGTCTGGTACTCTGATCTCTTTCAGAATTTTCCACAGTTTTTTGTGAATCACACAGTCAGAGACTTTAGCATAGTCAGTGAAGCAGAAGTAGATGCTTTTCTGGAACTCTCTCGCTTTCTCTGTAATCCAGTGGTGGTTGGCAGTTTGATCTCTGGTTCTCTTCCTTTTCTAAATCCAGCTTGAACATCTGGAGGTTGTCAGTTCTCATCCTGTTGAAGCCGCTTGGAGCACACCATAGCACATAGTGTATACTGGGGGTGGGAGTGGGTTGCCATTCCTTTCTCCAGGGAATCAAACCGGCATCTCTTACATCTCTTGCACTGGGAGGCGGGTTCTTTACCACTAGCGCCACCTGGGAAGGAGATTGTTTACTAAAGGATAAAATTTGCATGCTGGATATGGTAGATGTAAGCTTGTTATAGAAGGCCCAACAGAACATCTTGAGCACTTACTTTGTGAGACCTCATGTTGGGAACCAGCACCGTATCCGTGGGTGAGACAGACCCAGGCCCCTCTTCCTGCAGCCGGGCTGACTCCTGTCCTCACGGAAGAAGCGTCTCTGAAGGGCTCAGAGCGTTTCGGCGGCGTGTTGGCGCTCTCGGCAGCTGCCTGTCGCGTCCCCGTCTTCACAAAAGGTCCCTGGTGCTGGCCTCTCCCGCGCTCACCTCCTGGGTCTTTCTGGGGGTTCAGTGGAAATTCCTCTGTATCGGGCTCAGCTGCCTTTTCTATCTGTTACACTCTAACCTTTCCCCTCAAATTGTGAGGGAGACGCTGACAGCGTTTTAGAGGTTTACGGTTGAGGAGATGTGTGCCCTGTTTACAGATCTTTTCTTGGCCCAAATGACACCCTCCCCTCCTTCAGGAAAGCGGTCTTCCTGAGTCGCACAGCTGGGCCCGGAGGAGTGGTGAGGCGCGCTGGCAGGGCTTCCTGGAAGTTTCCTGTTTTGTTTAGTTTTTTTTAATTATTGAAGTGCAGTTATTAACAGTATTTCAGGTACACAGCAAAGGGATTGAGTTACACACACTTTCTTTTTCAGATTCTTTTCCGTTACAGGTTATTATATGACGTTGAATGTGGTTCCTTGAGTTTTGTCTTCTCTAGAGCATTTAAATGTCGTTCATTTGAAGCAAACTGGCTCATGTTTAAAGGGAAGCTTGTTTGTAGTTTATGTATTTTTAAAAGTTAATGCACCTGGCAACAGTGATCTTTTTCTTTATAAAATTTTATCTCCAAAAGAAAGGAGTAAGCGCCACACGGTGGCAGCGTTACTTCAGTTATCGGCATCCTGTTAGGATGCTGGAGGCCCTCTTTTTGCGTTCGCTAGTGTTTCAAGACCGTTGACTGTCTTGCTCCCGACTTTGCACAGCGCTTTTATTCCCCCGATTCCAGTCAGTGCTGTGAACAGAGATCCGGGCGGGGCCCCTGGAGTGCGCGTCCTCCTGGTGATCTCAGCGAGTAAAGAGGTGCCCGGCCTCTGAGCGGGGAGGCCCACGTGGGTCACAGTTCATGACCTGCGGTCCTGCACCAGCTCCCTGCTTCATCTTCAGCAAGTGTCATTGTCTGTTTTACTCAAGAGTTCCTGAACAGACTCGCGTGTGTCTGAAGGAAGGTGCTTGGTTCCTAGGGACAGACCCCCGAAGAGAGTGGCTGTCCTCTCCTCCCACAGCGGCCAGAGCCGCACGCCCTCCACCGTTGCTCCAGCAGGCTGCTCGCGTCCTCTCGCTCACAGAGTGGCTTCAGGAGGCCAGCCATCACGTGTGCCTTTCCTGCAGCAGAGGAAGGCAGGTGGGAGGCAGCTAGTGGCGTCTGTGCCACAGGCAGCTTTACCGCCGGATGCTTCCCAGGTGGCTCCGTGATGAGGAATCCACTTGCCAACACGGGAGATGCAAGAATCACAGCTTCCATCCCTGGGTGGGAAAGGTTCCCTGGAGGAGGAAATGGCAGCCCACTGCAGTGGTCTTGCCTGGAGAGCTCCAGGGCGAGAGGAGCCTGGGGGGTTAGAATCCTCGGGGCCGCAAAGAGGTGAGCACGACCAGGCGGCCGGCCGCGCCGCAGTGGCTGCAGGAAGGCCTGGCGATCACCACCAGCGGTGCCGGGTGTTCAGAGGAAGAGAGAAGAGGGGGACAGACCCAGGACTGTCTGCCTCAGCAGATCCGCAAAAATGAGTAAGAAACAGTGTCTACCTCCAGGGATTTACCGTCTGCAGAGAGCAGATTGTAATGATGAAATTACGATGTTAAAGTAAGTGCAGTGATTGAGATCTCAGAAGAGGGGACAACTCTCAACTGAGTTGGGAGGGAACTCTTTAGAAGACGGGCTGATGTTTGCTCTGGGAAAGAAACATAGATGTTAGAGAAATACAGAAAAAGTAGAGGCAATGTTGATTATATTTGAGGGAGAAAAAAAAGATTGTTCAGATAGGTACAGTAATGAGAAGAGTTGGGAAGGTTCATGTTGATGCATTTGAATGTTGATTTATTAAAGAGAAAATCCCTTGAAAGGCAGGACAAGGTAAAATTTCACTTGACATCTGATCTCTCATTTTGGTTAGGGTGTAAAAGTATCTCAGATTATTAAATATAAGGAAAAAGTCTATCCCCCATATGACATGTAATAAATTTATATAGATATGCAGTATGGTTTTAGGACTTGTGGGACTATTTTTTGAAGGAAAGAAAAATTTAAATATTACATCAGTCTCTCATTTCCTCTCTGATACTATTAAATTACATCTTTAATGTAAAAATATAATAACTGTACTGATACTCTGGATAATTGCTAACATTTTTTAAGTGTTTTGTGCCAAGTACTGTCTTAAGCACATTATATGAGCACTTGTTATCAGTTTCAATTTGAGAAAAGTTCACCGAATCTGTAATTTTATGGGGTGTCATACATCAGAAACCAAGCTTCATTCTTTCATTCTGTCTCAACTTGTGTATAAGTTTAAAATTTTTTATTATGGAAAAATTGGAGTAAAATATCTTACCCCAGCTGCTCCATAAGATGGTTCAAAACAAAACTTCTAGTAACTACTATAACATTATTTCTTCATAATCATGTTTACCACCCTTCATATTCAATGAACTTTTTGCATTATATTATTTTAAGATTTACAGTAAACTTACTGATACAGCACAGAGTTCTCACGTACCCCTTGCCCACTTTCTCCCGTTATTAATCTTTTATATTAATTACTGTGCGACATCGGTAAAAACTAAGAAACTGACACTGGAACATTACTGCTAATGAAACACCAGCCTTTACACGCATGTCACCAGTTTTTCCATTACAGCCCTCTTCCTGTCCCGGGACCTAATCCAGGGCACCACACTGCTTTTAATTGTCATGTCTCTAGTCCGCTTTGGTCTGTGACAATTTTTCGGGCTTTCCTTGTTTCTCTTGATCTTGACAGTCTTGAGTTCTAGCCAGTATCCTGTAGAGTGTGGCCCCGTCTGGGTCTGTCTGATGTTTTTCTTAGGATTAGACGGGGCTGACGCGCTCCGGGAAGGCGTCCCAGCGAGGGAGCACGTCCTGTGGTCACGTCACCTCGGGAAGTGCATGCTGTCATCATGACGTCACTCACGAGGTCACCTTCGTTGACTGCACCGAAGTCCATGTTTTTCTCATTCCCCCTTTATTCTCTGGAAGCGAGTCACTCAGTTGAGCCCACCCAAGCGGGAGGGTGGGTTCAGCTCAGCTTTCTGAAGCTGGGGCTGGGCTCGGGGTCCCAGGACCACCCCCAAGGGCATCGGTTCAGCAGCACTTCTCAGCATGCTGGAGCCCGAGGCTTATCGTGGCCGAAGGAGGCGGAGCAGACTCGGAAAAGGGCGCAGGTGCCTGGGGAGGCGTCTGGAGGAGGCCAGGCAGGAGCTTCCGAGAGGGTCTCACCCGCTGGAGTCACATGGGGCACGCTTCACTCCCTCTGGAGTGGGTTGTGACAACACGTGATGTGTTGTCTTCCGGGGAAGCTCGTCTGAGCCTCGGGGTCCAGGGTTCTTCCTAGGGACCCGACAGGTAGGCAGCCTCTGCCTGTCATGTCTCAAAGTTCCGGAATCCTGGAAGGAGAGAGGTGTCTTGTCATTGACACAGTGTCACCTGCTTGGGAGCTGTTGCCTGGTCAAGTTCCCAGTCTCCACCAAGCCCAGCTGTGCAGGCAGGCCTTTGTAAGGTGGTCTCAAGTCCTCAGTGATAGCTCTTCTACAGAGGGAAGAACCCATGTGTTACTACTTGTTCCACGCGTTTTTATTTGAGTGAAGTAGGATCGGAGCATAATAATAGAAGCTTTATGATGATAAGAACAACAAAATATAATTTAAAATCTGATCATTTCTTTGCCACAGATGAAATGCATGGAATCTAGGTCTCTTGTTCTTTTGGTGTTTCTCATGCCCATTTTTAAACATCAGTATGAAAATATGACTCATATTTGCAACTTTTGAAGCATTTCATAATTAAAAAAAAATACCCCCAGGTTGTGACCTCATTCACCGCCAAATAATTAATTTAATTTACTGTATAAATTTTAGTAATAAGTTGTAACATAGCAACCAGAACTTGGGTGGAAGTCTCAGAAAGTAATTACTAAGATTTAAGGCACAATATGTACTTTTCTTTTAATAGGAAAAACGTGGTCTTCGAGAAATGCGAGTTCTTGAAAATCTGAAGCATATGATCCAGGAGACAAATGAACATACTCTTCCGACGTGTAGAGCAACAATGCAAGACAACTTAAACCAAGTTCTCCAGAGATGTAAGCCAGCGTGTTTTTTTTTTTTAATACTGCTTTATTTCATAACGCACGCTCTGCCCAAATGGATTTCCCGGAATGTTTGGTGGGAGGTGGAGAGGGAAGCCGCCCAGTTTCAGAAACCAGGTGATTAGTGTGTGTCGCCCTTGATGTTAAGAGCATTAACCTCCACAGCAAGGTGGGCACGCAAGATTACCCTTCCAGGATGTAAGAAAATTGAAACCTTTTTTTACCTTAAAAAATGTATCTGCAAGAAAATGTTTGATGACCAGGAATTAGGGTATGCAATGAAGGTTTGTTGCCAAGCAGGATTCCAGAGTTTTTAACTTAAAAAAAACTCTTGTCATAAATGTTTGTGTTTTATCACTTTTTTTATTAACCAAAATGTTTTAATGTGGAAAGATGTTTGCTAAAAAGAATATTTATCAAACATATCAAATTACAAAATCAAAGGAGTTTTATGAGTAACTGAGTTTAAAATTAGAGGTGTTATCAGAAACTCAGGGTTTCCCCTCAAATCCACATTGATGCTGTCCGGTTTGTCCAAGGACGGGGTGCTGGAAAACAAAGCAGCATCTTTCAAGTGAAAAAGGGAAGCACCAGGACTTCCTGGTGGTCCATTGGCTAAGACTCGGGGCTCGCATTGCAGGGACCTGGGTTCCATCCCTAGACAGGGAACTAGTAATAGATCCCACATACTGCAACTAAGAGTTCACATGCCACAGCTGAGACCTGGTGCAGCCAAATAAATATTTTTTTTTAAAAGAAAGCAAAGACTGGTGACGTAGTGGCCTGTGAGGTGAAGTAGCGGGAGGGCTTGGTTAATGACCGAGCTACCCGACGGTGTGTGTGCAAGTCCAGGGGAGTCTGCGCCCTCAGATGCTCGGAGGAGGGTGGAGAGGACATGGGGTTTCTCTGAGTGGAAGAGGGAAGAGTCTAAACCTGGTCTCAGGCTTTACATATCACTGCAGACACTCCCTTCTTCATACAGTCAGTTCCTTAACCTCGACAGGCTGTCTAGACATTACACTGGAAGTAAAACTCAGATTTATTGATCAGAATGCCTGTGTATGCTTTTGAAATGTGCTGTAACTTTCCTTTTACACGCTTTGAGTATATAAAAATAAATGGGATTACAATTAGTTTTAAAAAAAACCTATGAATGGATTTTTCAATCAGTTTCATTCCTGGGCCATAGCTATTTCTGATGGGAAGCCTCATGTTAAAAGCACAGTCTTGGGGCTTCCCTGGTGGTCCAGTGGTTAAGACTCTGTCTGCCAATGCAGGGGACACGGGTTTCATCCCTGGTCCACGATCCCTGGGTCCGTGGGGCAGCTAAGCTCCTGCGTCGCGGCTGCTGAGCCTGCGTGCTCCAGGGTCTGTGCTCCGCACCGAAAGGGGCTGTCACAGTGAGAGGCCTGCATGCCACAACCGGAGAGTAGCCCCCACTCGCCGCACCTGGAGAAAGCCCCCGTGCATCAGTGAAGGTCCAGCACAGCCAAAAATTTTAAAAAAAAATTTCTTTTTTTAAAAAGCTTAGTCTTCACAAAGACATAGCAAAGTTTTAGAGGTCATAGGGAATCCAGACGGTAAATGTATTTTCCTAAAAGGAAGAATTAAAACGTGAGGCAATAATGAAAGTTTTAGCATTAGAAGCACACAGCGGCCTTGGGGGTACTGCTGAGGCTAGAAACCGGGATGGCTTCCTCAGTAGGCTCCAGCCTAAAGATGTCCTTGTATCTGTTATCACAAACGTCACAGGTATAATGGAGATAATCGTTTGCTTTTAGAGCCAACATAGTTTTTTAAGAGTTGGCCTGGGCCCAGCTGCTGTTCCTGGGGAATTTCACGTTTGAAAAGCTGACATTTTAAGCCGCGATGCTGGCTTGCGTTTATCTATGGGATGTGCTCTCATCTAAGTAAGTTAAAGTTGAGCTGCAGGGTTAGTGACTGTGGGGTTCCGTCTTGTGCCTGTCAGGCCTGTCTGTCTGAGCTCTGCACATCTGAGGGCTGAGCTGGGCATGCGGTCAGCTGAGACCCCCAGAGCTCAGAGTGCGGATCTGCAGCTGTTGGTCCAACACTGTGCGCGGACCTGAGCCACAGCGGGGTCTGGGGTGGGGGCGCGTCCTGACTGCTGGCGCAGAGACGGTCAGAGAGTCCGAGCTGAGCGTCTCAGCAGTGGGTGAGCAGGGCCGACAGAGCCGAGGGTCCCCCGTGGCTTCTGGAAACTTTAACCCCGGAAAGTCCCGGAGCTCTGGGAGGCTGTGTAAGTGGGGACAATGGCCCCCACAGCACCCCGTCAGCAGGACACAGCCCTCACGTATCTCCGTCCCAAAGACACTGCTGAGTGTCTGTTCTTCTTGCTTAGAATCAAGAACCAGTCCTTCTTTTGAGAGGCTAAGAAGGACAGACAGTCTCTAGGTTGTTTCTCAATTTAAATTAACAAGGCCATAGTAAAAGAATTTTCTCTCCCTTCCTGCCTTCCTCTCTCTTTTTTAAGACTTTATTTTTCATTATTTAGAGAAAAGGATGTATGTCTAAGTAATAAGAAAGTAGAAATAAGAAAATAAGAAAGAAAAAGAAGAAAGCAGTAAATCAGTTTAATTACCTAAAGATAACCGTTGCTTTTTAACTTTGGTGAATTGTCACCCTGACATCTCTGTGTATATATATCGAAATAGAAGGCTGAGTGGACGCTGTAACGGAAAGAACAGTTGGTAAGGTGTGAGGAGGGGAGAGAACTTTTGTTAAGAATGGGCTCGGGCAATTTTTAAGTTAAGGTATTAATTTTAAATTTTACTTGAATTTACCAGAACAAAATCTCAAGTAAAACTGAAGGAAATACATTAAAATAATTGTTTCTTTATTGTAAAAGAGAGTTTTTACTGAAAGATCACTCAGAGGAAAATAATGACTAAAAGAGGGCACGAGTTAGAGCCCTGTTGTTCATGCACGAGATGCTGGGGGCGGGGAGGGTCAGGCCCCCACCGCTTCCCTCTGCTTCCTCCCCAGGCCTCTCAGCTGCGACCCCTAACTTTGTTTACAAATGAGCTTTTACAGCCTTTGCCTTCTGTTCTGCAGTAATGATGCTGCCAATTGTTTAGTCTGAAGACTGTTCAGTTTCTTTCTGTCTTTGATGCGTTTTTAGATCTGTAACGAGGTGGTTATAGTTGTTTGTTTCCTTAGTTCTGCGGTTTTCTCATTTTTCATGCCGCGTGTTTGATGTCTCTTAATAAACTCGTATGATGATTTTTCTTAGGGACTATCTGTGGAGAGTTTTCTATGAGGTTTTCTTTCAGAATGAACGCTTTGTCTTATCTGTCTCTCCCACATTGTACCCCTTTCTCCCTACCTCCCCGCCCCACCCTCTGTTTCTCTGCAAATTAAAGCATGTTAGAGTTCTAAGAATTTTGTCAACCCATTTTCTTTTTCTCATTTTTCAGGGGGTGGAGTGGTTATGGTGGGGTGAGGCATCTCTCTTCTTCATAGAATCTGTTCCTATTGCTACTGAATTGGGAACAACCTATTCGTGGTATAGAAGAGATAGGAAAGGTTAGAGAAATGAGCCTTTTTCTCCTGGAGTCTCGACTTGTGAGGAAAGGGAAAAGAAAAGTGTAGTCACTTCTAAGGTGGTCTCTTAGCTTTTAGAAAAGCAGGTTTCCTTAAATTTGGAAAGCAAACCTTTTTTTTGTCATGTGGATGAAAAGTTAAAAAAACATTACTTCAGAGACTGAAATTTCTAAAAATGGATATTCTAAGTACAAAGATAATTGTGATAAGGAAGAAAAGTGTGCCTTTGTCAGATGTGTTCTAATTAAATTTTGAAACAACAAGAAAAGTGTTGTGTTCCTCTAACACTTAGATTAAGCCCAGAAAATGATGAAGCATGCAAAGTCCATAAAGTGGATTTTTTTAAAGTTATGTTTAGAGCCAGGGGAAAAAAGAAACCAGGAAATGGAACCACTGCTCGGGAGAGATGCTGTAATAATAATATACCACAGAAAGAAGGCAGGTCTAGTCGGCTCCTGTTTTGTTTTGTTTTCAGCTTTTCTATTAGAACAAACAGTGATTGGGAACCTTCATTTTTAGTACTAGAGTATTATCTTTGATATGACTAGAACGAATGGCTGCTGATAAAAACTTGACTTTTTAAAAGTGGCATCCTCCTCTTTGCCATGTTCTCACAGGGAGGGGCCTAACATTTTTTCTGGACGTCGCAGCGCCTGCCCTGCATGGAGCTGTGATCTCACTGGGGCTGGCTCAGGGCGGGTAGAAGGCATACTTGGGAAACAGCTGGGGAAGCCTCTGTTTGAGGCAATGCAAGGTCACGGGGTAGGATATACACCTCCCTGATAAAAGAATTTCAAATAAGAGGAAATCCACATAGGGATAGGTTTCATCTGGAGGGCTTTATGAAGGCACTAAACCTGGGACTGGGCTTCTGAAACATGTCCACGTTATAACTAGAGGAGAGGAATAAGGAAAGCCCTTTGAACAGGGAGAGGCCAGGGTGTAGAATGATAGCATCAGTGACGTTTCCTGACTGCTTACCATATGCAAGAACCGCTGCTCTGAGTGGCTTATACTATTAATATTGGTCTTTCCGTGGTTTGAAGCATGTTGTCTACTTCATTACTTATTTCTGCCATCAGCTCTTTAAGTCCTCTCGCCAGTCGTTATGTTCGTTTCACAAATGAGGAGCTAAGATTCTGAGAGGTGAGGAGCAGCAGCGGTAGCACCTGGCACCTCGCAGGTGCTCAAGAAATCGCCTGACGGATGAGTGAGGATGCAGGCACGCCCCAGCGCGGCTACCCAGGTAGTAAGGCTCTGGGTGTGACCGCGGAGGCTGACTCAGCCTGCACGCAGGCCAGCCAAGTAAGTGAGAACGTGTGCACAGCAGTAAAGTGGGTCTGGGAGATGAGGAGGTTTGGCGTGACGGGCCGCTCTCCTTGGTGAAATCGTAGGAGGGACAGTGTTGACGGTGAGCGCCGAGTCTTCAGACTCAGGGCCTCATCTAAGTCCTGCTTTGCGTGTCTGTTAGCCACATACTGACATTTCACTTCTTCACACCTCAGTTTTCTACAGATGCCAAAAATGTGTCAAATGGGAAGGTGATCCTCACCTAGTAGGAAAGTGGAGAGGAGTAACATGGACAGTACTTAGCGCAGCTCTTGACACACAGTAACACTCAGCAATTAGCTACAGTCATTGTTACCAGCTGTTTCAATTCATTGAAAAGGGAGCTGACTCGAAAGCAAGCAGTCGGAGAAACCTGAGTCTGGCAGTAGCGGCCAGGGCAAATTAAAAGGTGGAAGAAGAATAGTAGAAGGTCCTTGCAGCTTTCTGGGTATCAGTTCCTGCCTGCAAGGGATGAGGAAAAGGAGAGGGGAAGTTGATGAATCAGGTGCTGTAAAGGCCGCTCCATCGGAAGGGAATGATGCATTTATCATGTGTTTATATCTTTCCAGAGAATCTTGAGGTTGTTATAATGATGACTTGTCATTGAAATTGGTACTAAATGTCCTTGGCTCACAAATGATAGTGGTTCTCATTATGCCATTCCGAATCTTTTTTTTTTCCCCTCACTTTTTAGCCACCATGCCATGAACAAAACTAGCTTTTTTTGTGTGGTTTCTTGAAATCTAAGACAATCCAAGTGTTGTTTTGTTTGTCCTTTTGCTTTTTAATCCAAATAAGTCTCCCCTTGAGTAAGGGTTGGTGACTGAAAATCCGCTGTGTGTTTTGTTTCAGTGCAAGCAGCTACTGACTCGGTCTGTAGACTCCAGCAGAGGGAACAGCAGCGAAAAAAGGTAAAAGTGGATCCTTTGGATAATGGAGCCTGTAACTCCAGGGCTTTTATCATCATATTATTAGCAGTTACTTTTGGTTAAAAAAAAAAACTGAATTTATTTTCTTTTATGCAGTGATTTTTAAAGATTAAAAAATAGCTGATTCATTGAAGATGTGCTGAGTCAGTGAAGTCACATAATTGCACTGTCTATATTTTTATCATTCAGATTGCAGACTTCTTTTTTTTCTTTCTCAACATTTCGATCTGTTCCCTGAAAATGGATTTCTCTCTAAGAGGAGAAAGAATAGGACTTTTACATGGAACAGAAAATACCCACCAACTTGGAAATAGCAGTCTTTGAGCCTGAAGCCTTGAGTGTATGATGTATATTTTTTCTAGAGAAGGAGGCATTCATGCCTGTGGATGGGTTCTTTAATGACTAATCTGAGAGTGTGCGAATCACCTGCTGGGTAGTGCTTTGCTTATTTAAATTATATCTTAACTAAATTCAGGTGTGGAAAAACACAAGAATTTAAGTTCCCGTGATACTTGGTGTTTTAACTTGCAGTTTAGAGAATTTTTATGAGTTATTTATTGTTCTAAGCCAGTAAAAATATGCTTATTAAGAAATACGGAAAATACTGTCTTTCTGCGTGTGTTGTATCAGCAAGTATTACTGTCTCCATTTCTCTGCAGTGTGTGGTTAATCGATAATAATGGTACAGATCTGACACTGTAAAAGGAAAGAAATGAACCATGCCCAAGTTTAAATTTCTCAACTTTCTGTTCAATTGTTAATGTTGATATGAAGTTTAAAGATTCAGTAGTTTGATAAATCAAGCCTTAGCAAGAGGACTTGACGATTAAGCCAGGTGGGAAGGCTGCCTGGGAGGAACAGGATCCCAGTGGGCCAGGGGGGAAGCAGGGCTGTCGCGAGCACACCTGCGACCTGGCCGGGCCGTGCTGGCTGCGAGGTCGGGGCGTCGTACCTGCCCGGTGTCCAGACCACATGGCATGGGCGGGGTGGGTGAGGCCCGGTCTCCACTTGACTAGGTGCCACTGGGGGTGAAAGATTTTACTTTGAGGCGGTTTGTACACACAGAAGCTAAAGGTCTAGGAGCCCCAACCACTGACACTGATACAGGATAGGATAAAGTCAAGACCTCTCATAACGTTGTGGAGAACTAGCATGGCCCGGGCAAAGAGTGTAATTTACTAGGAGGATGGGGGCGCCTCAGCCCAACCTTGATCTGCGTGTAGGAACGTGAGTGATGGAAGGTGGAAAGACAGATACTGTAGGACAGGGAACAGGGGGAGCAGAGCCATGGATGGGAGAGGTCAGGGGTCCAGGGAACTGGTGCGTGGAGCATCCACGTGGGTCTTTCCGGAGAGGAGCACAGAGAACCAGGCGTGAGATGTGAAGCAGTTTGTTGCGGAAGCACCAGGGACGTGTTCGCGTTTGAGAATCAGGGAGACTGATAGAGCCCTGGCTGTAACATATTCTGTTCTCTTGGCTTTCAAAATAAAAATGAAAAAGGGTCTTTTTTTTTTTTTATGTGACTGTGCACTCGTTATTGATCCTTGTCTCTAAGACATTCTCAGAGCAATTCTGATTTCGGATAAAATGGCAATTCTTGCCATTCTTGAACAGAACTAACCTAAAATTAAATTGTATTGGGGATGGATGGTTCTTCTTGACTCTCTGAACTTTTTTTCACATTTGGTGTATTAAGTGTCTAAGTAGGAAAATTACCAGATTGGGTAAAAAAGAAAACCCTGGTGTCTTCTATTTTTAGGTACTTGCCTTTGTTAGCTGACCACATGCCCTTGGATAAGCCCTTGAGCTTCAACGAAAATGCTTGTTCTTCTCAGGGGATAGACTGATGCTTTATGTGCCTGATACACTGTGTTGTGTGATTTATGTGAAATGGTGTTACTCTACAAATGTCAGGTGGTGTTTCCCCCGCCAGCTCGATCGTTTGGGTAAGATGCAGGCAGTCACTCTGGATGAGAGCCCTGCTGTGGTCTGTAGAGTTGGTGAAGTTCTTGAGAATCCTGCCTGTTGATGATTTTCTAAATTAAAAGATACTGTCCCTTGGTTTTTAAAAAAAAAGCCTCAAGAAATAATAAAGCCCTTGGGGATTTTCATCTTAAATTTCATTTTAAGTACATTGTAGGTATTATCTCAAAGATTGTTATTGAACTGTTTTTTTTAATGGAATACACATTAAAAATCAGGATTTTAGAATACATTAAAATATCTTTATTAGTACTTATCTAGTTAGCAGAGCATTTGAAATACAGATCTTCAAGGTCTTTTCTTTTTCAACTGTCACACCTGATTTTCCCAAAACGTGTGTGGCAGAGGTTTGGGACTACCTGTATATAAGACAGGAAAGTGAGGCTTAATTTCTTGTCTAGCAAGTCTATACCAAGCAAAATTGACCTCTAGCTGCATTTTACAGTCTAATGTTAACCGTCGCCTTGGTTATTCTCTTGGCTGCATTTTGTGTATTTGAATGGCTCTCAGAACAAAGAAAGATGGGAGTAGTAATGGAATAAAATAGACCATTGCCTTTAATCGTTATTGCTTTCATATCGAGACAATTTGTGGAATTCTGTGGGAAGTAAATTATGATAAACGTCATTCATCCAAGTCACATTTCCCGCAATTGATACCTAAAAGTACACTTAGAACAACAAATTCGCATTCCCCAGCTATTTGACATACGCCTTAAAAACTAGTAACTAATACAAGTTGCATATTGGGTGCTACCAATAAGAGTAGTGAAATGAAAATACAAATGGCTGATAAAATTCAGTGACATAAATAAGCTGCCAAAAGCAGATGATGAGTTGATTGATTATCTGATACTAGTTTATACTGAGGTTTGTGCACAAGCATCAACTTTTTGAAGTTCTGTTCAATCACACTAGAGATAATAATAAAGTGAATGTGAATCCTTTGATTCATCTCATCCACAAATACTTAACTAGCTTTACTTTTATTTCTTGTTTTGTTATGAGAGCAGTGAGATAGTGTGGCTTATATATTTCTCTTGATAGAGTTTGAAAATACCAAGTAGTGGGTCAGTACACTAGGCTGTCTGTATCCGCTGGTCTTGCATCCATGAATTCAACCAAATTGTTTTAAATGGATATTTTTTAAATTCCAGAAAGTTCCAAAAAGCAAAACTTGAATTTGCCACATGCCGGCAGCTGTTTGCATAGCATTTATGTTGTACTTGCATAGCATTTACAATTGTATTAGAATGGGCATTACACGTAATCTAGAGATGACTTTAAATGTGTAGAAAGATGTACGGGTTACATGCCGTGTCCTGTACCATTTCTCTAAGGGCCTTGAGCATCTGCGGACTTTGGTATCCGGGAGGGTCCTGGAATCATCACCCCACAGATCCCTCAGGGTGACTGTACATAGTGTTTTAAGTACTGAAAATAACTACACTTGCTATTCTGACACTTTATACTTTCTCATTTATCTGTGTAAGGCATATGTAAGATTAAAGGCACATGTATTGCTTACAGATATTCCAAAGGACCTTTTAGACAACCATTGGTTTATTCAGAGTTTTCCCTTAGACCCGGGTTTTTCGGCCTCTGCGCTGTTGACATTTTGGAGCAGATAAATCTCTGTTGTAGAGTCTGTGTAGGATGTCTAGCACGTCCTTGGCCGCTGCCCACCAGATGCCACTATGACCCCTTCCCCCTCAACCCGCATTGTAATAACCAAAAATCTGGGGGACAGGAGAGGACAGGAGCGTCAGAATCACCCCCCAGGTGAGAATTACCAGCTTAGAGTAAAGCGTGCAAAAATGTTTGTGTGTCCGTCAGTTCTTTTATAGACCTGGTCCTAGACACGGTTTGCCTTCAGGACTGACTTCACATTTATTGCCAATGGGATGTAAGGAAGCTGGGTTGTTATTACTATTTCTCTGTTGTAGAAAGAGACAAACCTTTACAGCTAATTACTTTTGGTACCAGTTACAGTTCCTTAATAAACTTTTCCTTTATTTTCTTTTAAAGTGGGGTTTTCTTTTTTTATCTTGAGAAAACAAATATGTCTACATCTTTGAGTATGCAGTTGATTTCATTTGGGAACCCCACCCACCCTGAAACTTGAAGTTTTTTTTAAGTACGGAGTAGAAATATGTAAACTTAAGTAAACATTGTAGTGTAGAATTCTAGATTTGAGCTAATTCAGGCTTTATTTCTGCAATTGCTCAACTATGTCACTTTTTTTTTTTTTAAATGCAAGAGTATTGAGTAACCCAGGAGTTAGAGGGGCTAAGCATCTAAGGAAAGCATGTGACATGATTCTGAGCTGTTAGGAATTTACTTTGGAAATGAACATGTGTAGGCGACTCAATTTGTCCAGGATTGGCTCTGTAACTGGAAGTCCTTTAAATTAACTTCAGAGTTTATTATTAAAGGATAAACAATGAAAATGTCTTAATTTGAAACTTGGGTATTACTGAACTTCAACAGTAATCTCAGCAATTGTTTAGAGCTCAGACCAAAGAAGTATTTGGGGCTGAGGAGTCCTGTGTCTGACCTTATTCAGTACTGCCAGTGCCTGGTGATAATGAGAACCAGTCTTTCCGTTGTTTGTGTCACTGATGTAAATTTTGTTTGGACAGTGCACCCTCTTGTTGCCTGCACCCAGGCAGAGCTCTCCCCACTCCTGCTGTATTGTATCATTATTGAAAAAGTGTACTTGCAAACGTGTAATATGACTCCCATTTTGTTATTAAGTAAATGTTTGTATAAACACAGGAAAAAGACTACAAGTGTAGCCATCGAACTAGTAATAGTCCTAGAAAAAAGGACATGGATTTGATGTGTGTGGGGCGGGGGTGAAGGAGGGGGACTGTCCCTTTATAATCTTGTATTTGAATTTGTTTCTAAGCTCTGTAATACTTTAATAAAAATGAAGGGGAGGTGCTAATCCAAGAGACATTACTGAGCCATAAATATTTACACTTTCTGTTTTGATAGATTTTTGCAGATTGCTTGCCAAAGATACTAGTTACTCCCACCACCATGAACATCAACTTTTGAATGTATAATTTAGTATGCACTTTTTTGGTAGCTGCTAGAAATTTTAACTGCAAACCGTAATTACCTATTAAAGGTAATCTTAACTATTACTTACTACAGGTAAATAATTTGATTGCTATATTGTGTTCTTCTGTTAGTCGTGTGTGAATCTGTTGAGCATGAGGACAGATGTGACAGTGATTTTTCAAGAGTGTTTCAGCTAGAGGAGTCCTTGTTTCAGACTGAATCGGACACAGAGTCCCTTTATTTGACCACCTTAAAAGCCGAATTAAGATGGTCGTCTGACGTGAGCTCGCAGTTTACAAGATTGTTCCTTTTTCTTAAATTTATTTTTAACTGGAGGATAGTAGTAGTAGTGTTAGTCACTCAGTCACGTCTGACTCTGTGACCCCGTGGACTGCAGCCCGCCAGGCTCCTCTGTCCGTGGGATTCTCCAGGCAAGAACACTGGAGTGGGTTGCCGTGCCCTTCTGCAGAGGATCTTCCCGACCCAGAGATCGAACCTGGATCTCCTGCATTGCAGGGAGATTCTTTACCGTTTGAGCCACAGGGAAGCCCTTAATTGGAGGATAATTGCTTTACAATGTTGTGTGGGTTTCTGCCACACTACAGCAGGAATCAGCCTTCAGTATACATATATATCGCCTCCCTCCCACCCACCCTGTCCCTTATTTGGGAGAGTCCTTTTTAATTGTAAACAGAGTCCTTGGCTTGTTAGGCCAGGAAGCGTGCTCCTGTTGGGATGAGCTTGGGGGCATCTTTGCTGCTGCTGATGGAGAGCAGTTGGGCTCCCTGTCTAGGCTCGGTTCTGGGGAAGTCACAGCTAGGCAGACCGCACTTCCTGACAACCGGAATAGATGAGACCCGAGAGAACCTCCACTCTTGTCGGCTTACAATGCTTTCTAACTTGCTTCTGAGTGTGCAGGGTTAGTTAGTATCCTCTGTGCTTATTAGAAATTAATTTCCAACTAAAATTAGAGTATCATTTTGATGAAGTTTATTTGCATTTTTCTTGTCTGACTATGGCTTTTCTCTTAGAATATAATAGTTTTTGCCAGAGTTCCATGAAAAGAATTTAATGAACTCTTAATGTTTTATTTATCTTTTGAAGAATGACCGCCTCTGAGGCTGAAAGGTTAAAAAGTCATGTTTTGCCTTTGGTCTAACCTGTTTCCCCAACGCATTGGATCGGCAAACCCCACCCTGACGCGCGCTCTGCACCACGGTCCGCCTACTCAGACCCCGTGGGTCGAGGGGCATGCCTGAGGGGGTTGCTTCACTCTAAGTGAAACTTCAGATTCACTCTTGACCTCTTTTTACTTGGGAAGCCTTGGTGCTGAGGAACTTTAGATCAGATTGCCAGAAAAATACTCTTGCAATAGCTTTTTGTGTGTGTGTGTATAAGACTTTTAACTGTATAAAACTTCCCTGGAATGATCTGATTTGCATTTGTGATAGAAAAGACATAGGTTTGGGTGTCAGCGAGCCCTGCGTTTGAGTCTGCGATTTAGCAGCTCAGTGACCATGAAGAAGTACCTTTAGTGTCCTCATGTAGAAATAGTAAGGGACATCTCAAGATGAGCTTAAGATTTTGATGCAGATACTTTTGGTGTTTGTTTTAAGAATTGGAACTGAGCTAAAAGAGATTGCTTGAATTCTCTCCCATTGATTAATAATCTGTGGTTCTTTTAAATGTGTCTAAAAAATATTTTGTGTAAGATGTGCATTTTAATTTCTTGCAACAGCGATTCTTTTGGCATGTATTCTTTCCTTTTAAATTATATGCAATTAAATGAAATTTGAGAAATAGAGGTATGAAAATTTATTTGGATTGTGTTTGGATCTGTCGTTTAAAATACTAGATATTTTTGAAATTTCAGAAATGTGAATGCCCACGTTCAGGCATAGTAAGAGAACTGCCTTATGTGTCTGATACGTTGTTTTCTTGTTGTACATTAAAACTGTAACGGAGTTTTATCATTGTGATTTACAAGCTGATTGTTATGCTGCAGTGAGCAAATGTCAAGAGAGAAAATTATTTTTGTCTCCCTGCATGGCGAAATAATTGTTTGGAAAATGTCACGTGACTTTCAGATTTTCTTTTCTCAGATTCATAATGACCTTTTGATAGCTCGTGAGAAACAGCACGAGACGCAGTGGGAGGATTTCATGAAAGAGCAGCACGGCAAGCAGGCCGACGTGGATGGGGAGCACAGGAAGGCCCTGGAGAAGCTCAGAGAGCAGTATGCCGAGATGGAGAAGGGCCTGGCCAGGTTCTCAACCTTCTGAGCACGTGAGCCACAGCAGTGACGAGCTACCAAGGAAAAGCTGACCAAAAAACGGCTCCCACGCACCAGTTAGCCTCTGCTTCACGCTTAGCAATATATTCGATGGCACTCTTCAGTCGGAAGACGGAGCCCTGTCCTGGAGCCTTCGCTGTTTCCTAGAGGAGTGCCACCTCTTTGCAGTTTCAAGTGCCTCTAAATGGTCCTTCGAAGGGGAAGAAGTCGGAGGAAAGCGGTGTCCACATGCTCTCGATTAATGTGGACCAGTCGTGGTTTCCATTGATTGATTATCTCAGAGAACTAACCGTAAGTACAGACTTCTTAGGGAAGTAAGGTAATTCCTCCTTCTGCAGGGTTAATGTAAGTTTACCATCGTGGCTTAGAAAGCAGAGATGGTGTCTGCCTGTCGTGGCCTCCTTGGCTCTTGAAGGAATGTATATGGTGTTATTCCATGAGTAATGTAGACAGAAACAGCTGTCCCGGGAGCAGAAATCATAGTGCAGAGAGAGGAGCGTCAGACCACGTCTCTGCTGTGACATGGGGCCACGCCGGTCTCTGAACAGTCCGTTGGGAGAAGTTGTCGTATAATGCCGTGTTTTCTCTGGACAACAAGACACGCTTGTTAAGATCGTGGCCTTCCAACACTTCATGTTTTCAGCTTTGTTTAAAACATGCTTACAAAGAACAGCTTACCAGAAACACAGTTGACTTTGAACCCAGAACCATAATCTTGCCCATAGTCTTTACCTCATTTTTACGTCTGTTTTTGCTGTGGGTAAGCTTTGTAAGATAAATAACGTCTCTACATGTTTCAGCCATTTAATGAGTAATCAGCAAATTCTGCCAAGGCCTCCCTCTGGAACCGTATAAAGATCCTGGCTCTGAGTAAACCAGAAGTATTTGCCCACACGGCAAATGATCCATGTTAAATGTAAATCCTTTTTTGTGTTGAACGTCTGTCCTCATAAGCAGGTGTATTATGATGAAACATGTACCAGTTCTGTCATCACTGTGATCTTTAAAAATCTGCATTTAACAGTCTAATTGAGGAACTAAACTAGATTTTTTTTATTATTTACCATGAATCAAGCAGAATTTTATGCAATAATTTCAAGAGATTTATGGCAGATGAATGTGAGGTATGGATAGACCTCTCAGGTGTTTTTCTTGTTGCTCTTCAGTGAAGAAAACACCCAGCTCGCTTGTGTTATCTCGGTGTTGCTGCAGAAAAGTGACAATGCCTGCCTGTGTAAATTTATGGCTTACTGTCAAGGCTTCATTCTTGGCTGCATGTTGAAAATGTGATTAAAGTTAATAGAGGAGATGAAATAAGTATTTGAGATTTCTTTCAATAACACAGAACTTCTGCCAACTCCCTCTGTCCGCTACTGTAGGCTTGACAAGCTCATCCATCATCCTCTGGTACCTGGACCAGAAAGAGTACTTGCTGACACGCAGGCATGTTGGAATTTTCTTAATTCTCTTTTCAGTGGATGGAAAAAGAAAACATACTTCCAAAAATATCCTGCACATGAAAAGGGAGGGGAACCCTAAATGAAAATTCCCTTTGTACTGTAGGCAGTTTCAGAAGAGCTATTAATTGCCAGTGCCCTGCTGAACAGATGCTGGAACCAGGAAACCAGGGTCGTGTGTGTGAGCAGTAACGACTCCTCCACTTGTGCATAGATTTTTGACCATGTTCATTCATCTCGTGTGGATAATAAATACTTTACCGTATGAGTTTGTATATATTATATGAGGATCTAAGGGCCTTCTTAAACCAAAATGACTTTATGAACTTTTTGAGCTTTAAACATTGATGCTAAATCTCTTCTTTGTAACTTTTTTAGCTACTCAGTATACCTTTAAAACAGATGGTTGGTTCTTTTTCCTTTTAATATTTTTAGTAGTGAACACTTTCACTTATATTTCTCAGTTTCTAAATCATTTTTGATATGTATTTTATTTATATATAAGAATTTGCTTTAGTACTTACATAATAAACAGCATTTCTGCTGTTATGGTGTCTAGCAGAATATGGCTTCTGCGTGGCTCACTGCATGGATTACTTTCTAATGGGCAAATGAAATAATGTTTTGTCAATTTAAAGTGCTATAGAAATGTTTGTTTTTAATTCTAACTATTTTTTATTTTCCATCATGATTTCTTTTTTTTTTAACTTGCATATGTGGATTTTTTTTTTCCCCTAACATGTAGACTTTTAAGTTCTGTTCTTACTGATTTCTGCTTTCATTGGACTGTGGTCCAAGAATAGATTCATATAAGACTGAACTGTTAAAATTTGTTGAGATTTGCCATCTGACCTAAAATATGGTCAAGTTTTTTTAAATGTTAGTGCTCGAAAGTATGCCTATTTCCAGTTGTTGGGTGTTCATTAGACCAAACTGTTAATTGTATTGGCCAGATTGTCTCTATTTTAATGTTCTTTTTTCTTCTACTTGATCTTTCAGTTTCTAAGAGGTGTTAAAATTTTCTGTTTTAGTGGATTTTCTAATTTCTCTCTGTAATTGTGTTAGTTTTTGTTTTATATGTTCTGAAACTTTGTTATTCAGTCTATTACAAGTTTAGAATTATTTACCTTCCACGTTTAGAATTGAATTTTACATTTGTTGTCACAGCTTCTATTTCTAACAATGTTTTTATATCATTTTATGTTGCCTTAAAATTTTATGTTTCTGAAAGAAATATTTATTATATAGGCCACACCAGCTAGTTAGTGTTAGTATGATATGTTTCTCTATTCTTCTGTCAGACCTTTATGCTGTGTTTTCATGTACCCACTAAAAACTAACCAGATTTTTTTTTCTTTCTATCTATCTTTTAGCTGGAGATGTTAATTGATTTACATTTGTGGAAATTACTAACATATTAGGGTTTATACCATCTTATTGTTCATTTTTTTGTTCTACCATTTTATCATCTCTCTGCCCTTGGGTGTTTTCCACCCCCCCCCCACCCCCTCACCCCATCTTCTGCATTGAGTTTCTTGTTTTTCCATCTACATTTTCTCTGCTAGTTTAAAAGGTAAAACTCAAATTTTGTCTTTTTAGTGCTTACCGTGAATTTTAGTTTGCATTTGAATAACAGAATCTAAAGTTTTATGTTTTCACTCTTACGCTGAACATCTGACTTCTGAACACAATCTGATTGCCTTCCCTTAATTTATAAGTGTCTAGAATTTTAGTTTTATCTCCGTTTAATTCCAAAATAGTTATTGTATACAGTCAGTATTTGTTTAAATTTACCTACAAGTTTACTGTTTTATTGTCCTTGAAAGTTAGCTGGGTATACAAGTCTGGATTGGCAGTTACTTTCTCTCATTGTTTAATAATGCTGCTCCACTCTTGTGTTGCTTCCGTTGATGCTTCTGAAATGACCCTTGTCAGCTGGTCAGTCAGGTTATGTTTAAGTTCTTTATCTCTGACATGCTGCAATCAAATGTCATTATACTAAAACTTGTCTGCTGAGGATTTCTTTTTATTAATCTACTCAGATTCACTGAGCTGCTTGAATCTGAGAGTTGGTGCCTTTCATGAATTATGGAAAATTTTCAGCTTTGACCTCTTTGAGTAATATACCTTTGCATGTTCTCAGTTCTCTACTTTAGGAAATCAAATTAGACTTAAGTTTTACCGTCTCACTCTGTTCTTTATATCTCATAATCTCCGTTTCATATTTTTCTATCCCATTGTCTCTGTGTTGAACACTAGATAATTTCTTTACATCTGTTGTCCAGTTCACTAATTGTGTCTTCTCGCTGTCTCTAATGTATTTAACCTGTCTATCGTTCTTAATTGTGATTATATTTTTTCATGTCCAGAAATGTTGTTTGGTTCTTTCTCAAACTTTCTTGGTCATTTGGGGTAGTTCCTCTAGTCTCTCTTTTTCTTTTCTTTTATCATATTAAATGTTCTTATTTTATATTCTGTATATGATAATTTCAATATTTTTATCCTTTTTTTGTGAATCTGAATCTATAGTTTCTTTTGTCCAAAACAGGTGTATGACCTGTTTTCTGATGTGATCAGTGAATTGTCGTTGTGAATTGACATCCTCTGAACTCCATTTTGGGGGATTTTTGATACGCTCCAGCAGAGAAGTTTGTGATGTTGTTTCTTCCCTAGCACTTGCGTTTTGTTTCCTTTGGCCCTGCTAACCCTGGGCTGCTTCAGAGTCAGAGCTCCCTTGGGTTTCCCCCGCTCCCTCCCTGTCCTTCAGCGTGTCCGTGTGCTCGCCGACACGCACAGCCTTGTGAATTTCCTCCGCAGAAATGCAGCAGTGTCAAGCCATGATAAGGCATTCCTGGAGACTTTTTTCATCCTTCATATCTCCACTTGGAACGCAGACGAGAAACTTGCGGAGTTTTCCTAGCTCACACCCTGAGAGGGGCCTTTGGGGAGTCATCAGTGGTGTTGCAGTCCAGCTCAGTCGCTGGTGTGGGCTGAATTGTGTTCCCCAAATTCGTATGTTGAAGCTCCAGCCTCCAGTGCGTCTGTATTTGGAGATGGCGCTGATAAGGAGGTAATTACGGTTGAATGGAGTCAGAAGGGTGGGGCCCTGATCTGACAGAGCCTGTGTTCTTACCAGAAGAGACCATCTCTCCATGTGCACACAGAAAAGGTGGCTGTCTGCAAACTAGAAAAGAGGTCTCGACGGGATGGAATTTTATGGCGCCTTGATCTTGGACATCTTGCCTCCAGAACCATGTGAAAATGATTTTCTTGCGTGTACGCTGCCCGTCTGTGGAGCTGTGTTACGGTGACCCGAGCAGACCAACACAGTCCCAGGCCGTGATTCCTACCCCCCATGCAGGTGTCGTCCTTAAAACTGGGGTCCTTCTAGGCGTCAGGGGTGGGACCTGGGACAGTTATCAGTTCTGTAGCCAAACTGTCTTGTGGAATTTCAGCTTTTCCCAGTATGCCTTCAGTTGTGTTCATTAATTTGCCAAGAACTCAGCCATATATTAAAAAAAAAAAAGTTTAA